TACGTTTTACGATCCACCTTTTTACCATGTCAGTAAATTTTTGTTGGTTGAAGGGTTCACGCTGACGGGCTTTATTATTTAACATTTCTAAGACACTAACACCCCTCTTTACATTTGATTCATCTAGTTCAGGCACTTTGCCTTTATGTCTCTTGAGATGTCTTAGAAGATTTGACGTCGTCCAATCATTATAGGTCAGAGTCTTGTTACAAATACCACATGTAGCACTGCCTTTTGCCTTTCTAAAATACGCCCACACAATGGATCTATAAAATAAAAAGTAGATAAATAAAAAGTTGATAAATAAAAAATGTTAAAGCAAAGCTTTGCATATATTACCCATCATTTGTATAGGTTTCATTGCAAGTTGAAGGTCCCGCCTGGTTGAACTCTAGTATGATTGAGCTCATTCTAGTTATTATCTAGTGAAAACTGAAGAATATGCTTTACACAACCTTTTTTTGCTGAACCAATAAGGCAAAGATTGAAGTTGTGACCAGGTAATTTCTGATCAATGAACTTGCCGAATTTTTCTCCAGTTAAGGTATATACTAATTCTAAAAATGCTTTGAGTTCGTGATGGTCGATAAGAAGAGCCAGTGCATATAAAATATGGTAGCTACACTTGCTAGAATCTGAAGATGTAGTAATAACTAACCCATTGAGAATATTTTCCCAACTACAGTCGAGAATTCGATACAAGGCTCTTATGAAAAATAGGCAGATTTGAATAAATACTTCTTGCGTCTTAATACCAGTTGTTTCCATATCTTCCTGCGAAGCATCTATATCAATTATGGCTCTTAAAGGTTTTTGACCGTTAATACATTCATGAATCTCAGGCAAACCGTATACTTCAGAAATATCATCTGCAACAGAAAACTTTGGGGCTCGATCGTCTTGATCGATTTTGATAACCAATTTATTTTCAACCTCATCCCGGTCATAAGCATTATATAGGCTAGGGTCTTTTTCATTCGGAAAGAGGAATGAATAGATTGGAAGGCAATCTAATGAGCCTTTATCATTTGACATATCTCTAGGTGGTGATAAAAAAATTTCCCGAATACTATTTAGCAAGTTCTTGGGAGTGAAATTATTATTGAACTTTTCTTGTCTTAAAGTGTATATCGCATTAGCCTTTTGCTCTTCTATATTTGGTAGCTGAACTGATGGAGACTCGGTAATGCTGGTTGAGGTGCAGTGAGCTTCTTCATTATCCAACTCATAATTAGACTCGTAGTTATTATAATCATCTGATTCTAATTCAGATCCATTATCAGTACAACTGCTTGAGTTACTTAAATATTTATCGGTCTTGGCACTGCCATAGCGGGTGAGGAGGCCGGTTCTAGTACAATCAGTTTGGTCAGAAATAGTTGTGATATACATGTTGTCAGTAAGTAAGTAAAACTTTATATACTCCAATATATTTTCGAAATGTTTAAAATATTTTTTTTTAAAGGATACAAAAAAACGTATAGCAAACTTGGATTGCAAGTCGTAAAAGAAAGACATCCAGATATATCAAAATGTGTAGGCTTCTTCGGAATCTTTATATAAAATATTGAAAGAAGCCTACACTTTTCTAGGTATGTACTTGGATATGCTAAAGGCATATAGGCACAAATAAATATATTTAATAATACTTGAGGTATTCTTTTGCATAATCTTTATATAAAATATTGGCAGAAGAATACCCACTAGTATGTACCTGGGCATATGTGGACACTTAGGAAAGGTAACTGCATACTCTATTATAAAAAATATTGGCAGAAGCCTTCACTTTCCTAGATATGTACTTGGGTATGGTGAAGGCTTCTTTGGCACAAATTCTATGCTCTGATAGATACAAAAAAGAAGCGATAGCAAACTTAGTTAGAAAACGTAAAAGAACAGCAACTGGCTATATATCCAAAAGTGTAGCCTTCTTCAGAATCTTTATATAAAATAATGAAAGAAGGCTACACTTTTCCAGATATGTACTCGGGTATGAGGTAACTTCGGAAGTGCTTAGGAATAGCAATACATGGCCGATGCAATAGGTGTAGTAAATTATGATTTCGGCCAGCACTATTCTATAATTTCGGTCAGAATTTTGGGCAAAAGAGCTTGGTATCCAAGCCAGCATATAAGTAGTCTGAAACTGGAGAACTAATAGAACCTGTTTGGTTCTCTACCAGTTTTCTGCTAGTGCTATAATAGT